TTTAAAAAAAAGAGACTGGTTTGATGGATATTCTCTCTCAGTTCTGTCTCCATGTTCTTTAACTTCAACCCCACCATTGATGCACAGCAACACCTTCATCTCTAAGTTTGCCATACAGAGCCAAACATTCCCAATAAGCCCTACCATTCTTACTACTCTGCATCTTCCTTCCCCTTAACCCTAAACCCTTTGGCTTGCACTCCAAGAAAAGCTCATCCACCATTTTTATCGACTTGCTCCTCATCATCTCTTCCACCACTTCTGCCTCTGCCTTCATCACCACGTATTCTTCCTCCTTCACGTTCTCTTTAAGCCACTCAGTCATCCCCATCTGCTCTGACTCTAGGCTCATCTCATCATTCACCGTCTCAATCTTGTACATCTCAAACTTCAGTTTCCTCGTTGGGTAGTTTTTAACAAACCACTCTGTTCCGCTGCTTCCTTTCCCGTTACCCACATCGATGAACACCCGCCTCGAGTAGCTCCCGAGGTCCAAACTGTCTCCCATAAGATCCGGGAGGTACCGTGTCCGTTTCAAGTATGTTCTTGATTTCCTTGAAGCTGCTCTTGGTGGTTCAAGGAGAACATCTTCTAGCTTACTCAAAGCTTTTTTCTTGGCCTCTTCATCTGTGATACTGAGAAGCTTCCTCCCTGTGGCGACTAAGCTCTGTTTTTGCTCTGTTTCCCCTGTTTTCCTCATGGCCATTACCGTGTACTCGGAGCTCTTCATGTAGACTATTTCGTAGTTCAAATGTTTCAAGAAACTTGGAGGAAGATCGTGTAGGTTGAGTTGGACGGTGAGGATGGCGCCAACTTTGAGAGTCCGGTCTAGAAATTCAGCAGAGTCAATGTGACGAGAATGCGCAAAGGCGAAATCAAAGGTCTCGTTTGGGACCATGCTCTGCGTCTCCTCATCGTTCGCAGATACAAGAAGCATCTCGGTCTCGATCACTGTTTGAGAGTATGAAGAAACAGTGACCTCATCATCTCCTCCGCTAAGGAGGAGTTCTTTATCTCCGATCCTAAAGAGGCCTTCCTTCTCCATATCGTTAAGTAGCAAAGGCAGAAGCTCAGAATGGTCAGATTCAAGCGACTTAGATGGAGCGGTCGCATCGGTTCCATACTTGAGCAGACTCAACCAAGTAAATGACAGAAACAACAAAGCCAAAAGCGTTGATCTCATAAAGAGACTCAAGATTTCAGAACGAGAAGCCTTGAGTAAAGAATCCGCAGAGCCTAAAGAAGGGCTCGAACGGTCTCTCTTTTTCAAGAGGTAGTGAAAATGCTTTTGGCACATGGAGTGAAAGTCTTGGACAGTAACAAACACCATTTTTTGTTTTTGTTATGTCTTAAAAAGTGAGACAAAGAGAGCGCGCAAAAAGTGCAGTTGAAAGTTAA